AGTTTCCTTTCATTTCTTATCTTCCTAAAATACATATATACAGTTTGTTCCAGGAAATGTCTGAAATGCCTTCTGGTAGCTTTTAAATAAACATGAAAATCTCCTTTTGAGTTCAAAGAATTTCAAATAATGACAGGGGAACAGTTCTTGGATGGTAACACAGATGTAAACAAAGGTCACGAATCACTCTCAATAATTAAAATGCATTATTGCTACTTTTGGACTTTTAGTCTGCTATCACATAACTGAATTAGACTTGAGCAAAGCTCTAATGTGCTTCCACAGCAATCTTTTCCTGTACACTAAAACCAACAGACCTCAGCTACATTTCTCAGCTAGGAGCTAATGTTTCTGGGTACATGTTACTGTTGCAGTTTCATTTGTCAGTAAAGCCTTATTTACTTGCTTCCTGTTATTAATTATGGGAAACAGGATCTCTTCAAACTGTAGGAGAGGCTCTTTTAACTCCTGTCTAGACTTTTCAAGACAAAATATTGATGAGCCCTTTAATGTTTGTGCAGAGACACAATCTGAGCAAAAAAAAATCCCATCGCTACCTCAAACAGCTTAAGAACTTCTTATCACACATTCACAATAAAAAAAAAAATCCTTTAAATCACTCGGGCTCACATCCTTATTGTTAGTCACTGAAGTAAGGTTTCCTTTCATAGTTGGATACTTTCTTCATCTGTCACACTGATTAATTAACAGCTCACAGTATGAGCCCTGGGCTTAAATAGCCTACTGAAATGAGGAGGAGAGATCAATGTTAATATTCCATAAAAAACTGAAGAGGAAAAATGCTTTCTTTAGTCTGAAGGGATCTGTCTTCTAATAAAAAAAATTAACTAATTTCTGTTTGATTACATTACACAAGGAGATGAAAGCACCCAGCTTGCAAAGGGAGATTGCAGTGAAGGATTAGGACAAAAGTTAGAGAAGACTTAAACATTTTAGATTAAGCTGTTGGTTGGAAACAACCAGGTCTTGAACACCAGTGAAATTATTTTCATCATCATTAAGAAAAAAAAAGAAGCCAGTTTATCAGCACACAACGAACAAATCTATAAAACCACAATGTCATTGCCTGTAAAGATACAGGGGGAAAAGGCATGCAATTACATGAAACGGAGACTTGTTAAAACCTAAAACCTAAAGGTGGTTTTAGCATTTGTTGTTTCTCACACACACGTCCTTCCCAAACTGTTACAGTCTGGCAATAATTTCATGAGCTTGACTTTCAACAGCTACAAGTTCTCCCCCTTTTCTAAGCCCCTCCAGTACTGCTGAGTGGGCAAAAATTACAGATGCAAGAAAAGCTGACAAATGAGTGCAAGGCCCCTCCTCTCCAGTGCCTCGACAGTCAGAGCCCCTGCCAAAACATGCCTGAAAGCTAGAGAGGAGACAAAGACACAAAGATTCCATTTTCTCAGAGAAAATAGATTTCATGTAGAAACTACTAGGAAGAAGAATAGCACACTGGCACGTGTGTCATTTCAAAAGCAGAGCAGGAATGAATGTTTCAAGAAAAAATGAAATCCTATTTGCTTATTCAGTAAGCTCAACAAATGCTGTTTAACACATAGCCCTTTATAAACTGCAAAGTGCTACGGGGGGTGGGAGAGGGAAAGCTCCCATAAATCTGGGAAAACATTTTCAGTCATGGAGAACCTTCAGTTTAACATGATCCAAGCTAAGAGTTCATGGCTGTTACTCTAAATCATCTCCTGATAATGCTGTAGTACACATGCAACCAAAACAAAGTAAATCCAGCTTTTTTAGCTCAAATCTGTTTGAATACGTTTACTATTAAAAGATTCTTCCCCCAGGGTGTCATTAATAAAGTTGCAATGAGTTTAAAATCCTGGCACCTAGACACGTCCAAGTTTTCAAGCTTTTCATAACAAGTTTACTACTTTTGGCTTGTTACACTGTCGTGACTAGCACCCATCACTGAGCTGGAACAGGTCTGCCTCTGAGCAGGAAAACCAACAGCGGGGTGAATGCAGGCAACCAGAGCAGGAAAAAAGGCAAGAGCATGATTTCCCTTTGAAACTAGTCAGAAAGTTGGGAAAAAGTCCAATTGATGGTGGGAAGATTTGGGACGATTCAAGAGTCTGACTAACTTAAAAATAAAAAGGATATTCACAACAGCATATAAGATTAGAAACTATCATTTCAAGTGTGATTCCAATTCATTAGGACTCAGTGGCAAAAGAAACCACTGTTAAAAATAACATGAGCTCCTACCAGATTGGGAATTTGGGAAGTAGAGGTGTAAAATGGAGATTTAGTCATCAGAAAGGTTTTCAAAGGGCTCCCAGCTCAGATAATTAGTGCTCATCAACATATAGCATTCTTACAAACCTCATAATATAGCTTTTTTCTCTTATGGGAGGTTGCTTCTACATATCAGGTGTCAGAGGCACCCAAATTCAGCCCAAGTCTTCCAGTCTCTTAGCAAAAACACCAATGAAGTGTAAACAGAACCCAGAAAACATTACATAATGAAAATTCTAAAAATGTGATTAATGCCCTGAATTGACAGGTTTGAGCTTGAGGATAAAACACAACTGCTGAGGGTTCTCTAAGAGCAGTCCCAGGGCCCCCCCTGCCTGGCAGGGAGCACAGCTCATTGCTGGGTTCACCCTCACGTTCCCCTTCCTTCAGCCCAGCCACGCACTGTGGCATCTCCCCTGCCCACCCAGACTGAGGTCACGAGGATGTGGCACAGTTCTCACTCCAAACCCACGTGATGTCTCACAGCCCTTGGTCTTCCCTTCTGTCTGCTCCTGAAGACTGTGCTGACATCTAAGTCTAGGCATTTTCTAAATCTTCACAGTCAGACAGCATCTAAATGCTTTTTTTCTTTTTATGCATTTTACAATCAAGCCACTGGTCAGCCCCTCCTAAATGCTATCCTTCTCATGCATAACCATTTCCATTTGGTCTCCATTCTCAACCAGATCAAATCACTACCACATATTCATTTTGTTAGCACAGAAAGATCCTATACGTCACCCCACTGCAGAGATGTGGAAAAACCCGCATCTTCCAGTGTGATGCTCTTATTGATGCATTCCCCTCACTTCAAATTCTCATCAACTGAATCCCAAACCCTTCCTCTAAACCACCCATAGAAAGTAGAACTGCTGTGCCTCAACACACAGATCAATAGTGATATGATTGCCTGATTTCCAGGAATATTACAAGAGAAAAGGAGACTTAGTTCTGAGGTCAAATTCTAGAACTGCTAACAGCAGAGCTATATTAAAAAAGGAAAGAAAGGCTGCAGTTAATGACTAGGTAAGAGAAACAGAGCAGAGAATGAAATAAGAAACAAGATTTATGAATACAGAGTGCTTACAAACATGCTTTATCTTATACAGCTGATAAACTCATTCTTCTGACTACCATTACAAAGGAATCTTTTGAGAGAAAACTCAAGGTATATCAGATTATGAAAGGAGTGCAGCAGTTGAAAGTATTATCGCTTCATTTCACATGTTCCCTCACTGGTCTAACATTATTCCTATTTGAATACTTTCAAAGATTACTTAAAGATCAAATTCTAGCATTATTTCAACCCATAGAAACTGCTGAAAGTCAAAATGAAATGTTACATCTTTGTCTAATGCTTGTCATTGCAACTGAGTTCATTTTAATGATTGTGTGTCCAGGCAGTATGTGGCACAGGGTTTGAAAAGGAAGGAGACTTATGTTTTTGTTGGCACTGGTACAGCATAGCTCTTTAGCATAAAATTTATTAGCATTAATGGGCATTGTGTAATTAAAGCACTGTGCTTTAATTCCCTGAGGGGTAATGTGTTTTTTTTTTCGTGTCCCATAAAACAGACAAATAAAAAATGTGAGATTTTTTCAAAGCTATTTGAAGAATTCAAACTTGCATGTTCCTCCATTAATCATAATGGAGAAGGCACAGCTCAACAAGACGGACTCGAAATTCTCAAAATGTCTTCCATGAAACTGCATGGACGCAAATACTAGAGACCAGTCTTTTTGAGAATATGCTGTATAATTACAGTATTTTGCAGGCCACAAACTCTTCAAAAGGTAACCATCAGACCATTGAAAAGTATAGATTTGAAAAAAAAATATTTTTAGATTTAATTTACCATACTTACTTAACACTAAACTTATTTAAGGGAGTCCAATTTAATAAAGTGCTTTGACAAGCAACTCAAATATTTGTTACTTGAACATTTTCTGAACATTACTGAATGCCAAGAATTTAGAAGGCTTTGAGAATCCCTTCACCTAATCCACTGCACTTCAGGGACAGGGGAGAGTCATTTATGTAGTTATGTGTGCCTTTGAATACCATAGGCTAAGGTTGGAATAATTTTCAGAGCTATTGAAAAACTGCAGGAGTGTTGCAGGTTTCATCAGGATTAGTGCATGTCACCAGTAAAGATCCGAATATTACCTAGAACTGTATTTGAGTAGTTAAGCAGGATTAATTTTCTATAAGAGAAAATTAATTCATAATTACACTATGGAGAAAAGACCAATGCACACAGCTCTAGTATTCGAGTTTTCAGAAACGGGTCTTGTCGACACTCATCTGTAGCACTGAAAAATAAGCCTAGAGCTCATTTTCTGGCAATTTTTTATTATTTTATTGTTTTATATGCCTGAATGGTCTCACGTGAACAGCAAAGCAGAACAGCATGGAACAATATACCATTGACATATGCATTTATGACATTTAAATTATTGAAACTATAAGGCTTACTGACAGTATTATGTCACAACTTAATATTCTGAATAATCTAATTTCATTTAGAGTTAGCTTGAAGCAAAACATATTTTATCTGAAAATTTGAAAAAAAACATTAGTACAAATAGTACAAAACCACCAAGACCTTTATAGTGACACTAGCGATTTTTCCTTGGGGAATGTCAAGACCAATTATTGGTTGATTTATTGGGCATATCCTGAACTATTACACAAAATCCTTTATTTCTTTGTCTTCTAGACAAATCACCACAGAGCTGCAGACCAGCAATGAAGGGAACTGGGCAATTTGACCAACATCATCTGTGTCGGTTCCCCAGAAGTCGATGAAACATGTTATCGGGTCTCCAAGGTACATCCCACAGATTAGTTGCTGTGCCATACAATTAGTAAATGATTAAAACAAGCTGTTTTCTTCAATTGCATTAAGATACTTGCAGCAGTGAGAACTATTACCTTCTACCAAAGAGTCTACCTTACCAAATTATGTTGTTTATTAGCACATCATTAACAATGTGCCACCTCAGCCAAAAGATCAGGCAGTACAGTGGTCTCGGGTACAAAGTAAAGACCATTACAAAACTCCACCCGCCTCATCTGAGGAAATCAAATATATCTGAATCACAGATTGCACAGAAATATTTGAATACTAGTTTTCATCTCCAGCTTTCTGTGCCTTTTGTGCCAAACCCATAACTTTTCTTCTGAGGAATCAACAAAACCATGCAGAAACAGAGTTAAAAATACAAGTTTTTAAAACTGAACATTTTTCTTTTCAAGAGAACAGAACCCCAGGTAAATGTTGCCTTTTAATACAGCACATGAAAATCTCAATTATGGAAACCATTATTCTAGGCACTATGTGCCATTTTATATTCCCAGCAGGATGTTTTTCATCTCATCAAGAGTTTCCAAGGCTGTTTAGTGTTCCTGTATATTCAAAACACATTTAAGGGCCCCCAAGAAGATCTGCTAATTAAAAAGCCTAGTCAAGTGGTCAGACAGACTGGAACTTGAGGATTATAGGTAAGAGGGATGAAATGAAAGCTTAGAAATTATAATTTCTCTTTCTGTGGTAGCAGCAGAAGCAGCTGTTATAAACTGGGCAAATTAAAGATGTGGCTGACTAAGCCAGCAGCCTGGAAACAAGACATTGCAAAAACATAACAGCAAGTCATCTACACCCCACTTTTAAAAAGCCAAAAGTGCTGACCATTTCTTTTTTACTCTCTCTTCCTGTTATTCTGATCTGTCACAAATATCCTCCAGCTGGTACCCTTCCAGCCCTCGCTTACCAGTTCTAGTTTCCCACCCCCGTCTTGGGGAGTTAATAGTAATTCCTAGGACTGTGGACAAGTGCTCCATAGTGGGAGTTGTCAGCAAACAAGAAAGGACATGTTTAAAAGAAGAGCAGGTGAAATAACAGAGTGGTAATTCTATTTCTTTTTAATTGTTCCTTGAGAGCTGTTTCGTCTGCCCAGTATCTAGGTAAGAAGGTTTCCAATTAAAAAACAGACAGATTGCCACCACATTTTCCAGATACATTGATTAAGTGTCTCATAATTGACTATTTTCAGAAAAAAAATTATTTTTTCATTTTCTAGTCTATTTTTCCAAATATTTTTAAAAGAGTTCAAGATAATTGTGCCATGAGCTAATGAGGCTGCATATATTTTTTCTGTATCAGAAAGTGACGAAGGATTTATGAATTACTGCAAAAATAGGTTACTTAAAAAAACCCCAACCCAACAAACACATCCCAGAACAACCCTTTGTCTTTTCTTGACAGCAAGTATGGACTTCCCTTTAGAAACAGAATAAACATTCATTGCTTTGCTTAGGCAGCGTTTAGGTCTGTGTTGCCAACTGAGAATTTGTCTCAATTTATATTAACATAAACCTGTGGTCTACTTTTTATCTCAGTTTATACATCAGGAATGAATACCTCCCAATCTCTTTTCTCTCTGTCTATTTGTATTCAAGACAAACCCATCATTTCAGATTTGTGGTAGATGCATTTTTTAACTGTTGCCATTTCAGTATTACTCTAACAATGTTGTTAATAATGTTGCTGCATTGAAACATTGCATCTGATATGAGGCACACTCAAGCTCTTTGCAAACAAGTAATCATTAAATACATTTGAAATCTGGTTATGAGATTCATACCATAAATCTTTTAACAGACACAAAATTGATACAGGCAAGTTGAGTACTCAATTTTTTATTAGAACTAGTTTTAGGTGGCACGGGGCCTTTGTCTGATGCCTTTACCTGAAACGTATCAATTGCCATTTTGCATTTTCATACAAGTCTAAGAGCATAAGAGAACAGAAAAAGAATTCTAAAGGTTAAAAACCATATTCAGTACAGTCTCTCCCCCGCCCCTCTGTTATAATGGGTATTTGAGGAGGTTCTTTACATCTCCTCCTACACAGTTTCTGCTTCATAAGCAGAAACCAGCTGCTGGTTCTTTCAAGTCTAGCGGTTAGTTGACATTTACCAATAGTTTATGGTTTTCATTCTACCTTAACAAGGAAAAGAGAAATATAAAGATTTAGTATTCACTCTTTAAAATTCTTATTCGAATTTCCCCCCAAACTGGAGGGGCCTGCAGCCAAGGTGGTTTTTTTGGGTCTTAAGGACAAAGATAATGCTGTGCACCAGCACAGAGAATAGGACCAGTGAGTCCTGGCTTTACTGATATAATTCTTTCCCCTGGAAAACACCGCATTGCAACTCTTGACCAGCCGTGCTGATTTAGTTATTCCCCTTTCAACCTGAGTTTCTAAAAAATTTTGTGTACAGTGTTGATTACATATCTGACTTGACTAGCTTGGCAGGATTATTTAGCAACTGCCATAGTAAGAAAGAATAGTCTTGTATATATACCTATGATATGATGATTTGATGGTAAAGATGGGAGAAACAAGAAAGGTCTAGGATACATCACAGAAAACATTTTATTTTCAAGAGCAAGGAGAAAAAAAACAGCTGAAACACACAGAAAGGTGTCCTGCAAACAGCTCCATAGCACACCTATGTGAAAGATTGCCCCTACAGTTTATCTCCCCCCTCCAGGCACAAGTACACACACACTGATGCTGCCCTGACATCTGACTTCACTCCCAAGCAAACACACTGATACAAGTCTGAGGTTTGTCTCTCTGAAATTCATTTGGAAAAGAAACTCAATTATGAACTTTAAATACATGAAATTATACTAAAGTACAGGTAAAAAAATAGTAGTGTAATGGCCACTATTTCAACAACTTTCTAAAATTTATTTTCAGATTAGTAGGTAGTTTGAAATCATAATAAACGAAACGTAGTTAGAGATGTCTCTCCTTTAGGGTAAGTTTATACATGAAGGGATGAGGAAAACAGATGTGATCTGATAAACAAAATTTCCCCCAAATCAGGAACTCAAAAAAGCCATACTTGTAGTGTTAACAGCCCACTAAAACCGCCAGCAAACCTAAGTGTAGAAATCAGTCAGCTGGTAGCAGTGTGTTTACTTCACGGACTTTTTCAGAGCAGTAATTCAGACTACAAAAGCCTTTTATCTGATGATATTTACTATCAAAGAATTTTAAAAGAGGTAACATTAACAAGATTGCTGTAGATGCAAAAAGGAACTTGTAACATGCAATTGCTTGATGGCCCCAAACTTTACCTAATGTGTTTAGAGCCACAAAAGTAAATCATCTCAGACAGCTCAGTACACAGACAGCACAACAAAAAGCCATACTGTTTTTTTCTAGGTCTAGGTCAGGACATTTGAAGGCAGCTTTGACTGAACATGATTTCTTCTTTCTAAATCAAGGCTTCCATAACTGAACATCTTAGAGGCAGTTATAAAAGTCATACTGGCTCACAACATCTGCAGGAACTCAGTAGTGCAGCTGTTTACTGCACATGTGTTAAACAGGCGGCACTAAAAACTGTAAAAACAGGTCAAAGCAAAATGGAAAAGTACCTGAAATGAAGAATTTCACATTGATAACAGGAATAAAACATAGAAACAACCTTATCTCCAGGTCAGCAAGCTAAAAGCACTGAGGAAAAAAAGCAGTTTGCAGCAATCCACACACAATAGGTCCCGAGCATTACTTCCTTTCATCTTGTATTGCACTTATGGGGCACTAGATTTTTCTAAACAGCATCCAAAGCATACTTTCAAGTCTATCCAACAAACATCTGAATGTCACAGCAGCTTTTCAAGAGAAAGTTACAGCTCTGTAAGGACAGACTGAAATATTTCAAAGAGATCAAATATACCCAATGCTACCTCCTCTTGTTCCCTTGAATTAAAAGTGAAGAGCAGCTTATCTGGAAAGCAGAAGCTAATTAAAAATTATCTTTTCTAAAGAATAAAGGAGAAAAGCACCGATTTTTAAGCAAGGTGGAAACTCAGCTGGAGATGGACAGCAATGTCTTTCTTTTTGCAAAGTAATGATTCAGAAGCACATTCAAACCACATTTAAGCGATAAACATTAAACCACAAAGTACTAAAAATGAGGTGCATCCTATGGGAGCATGATCCAAGCACCACCTTTCTTCCCCCACTGATAGAAGCTTTAAAGAAAATCAGACATACCTGTGTTCAAGTACATAAGAAAAAAGTGATCTGTAATATCTTAGCACACATGCTGAACTTTTAGAAAGATTTCAATTAGCATTTGTACTTCAAAAGAGATGATGTAATAGTCAAAGCAGCCTAGGTTTTTCATCGGTTTGTATGAATGAGAGATTCAGACATACCAGACTGATTATTTTATATTCTTACACAGTCACTTTGGCTCTAAGAACAGGATTTTTTCCTCATACTAGTTAACTTCTGTTTGGTTTTGTATTTTTAAAAGCAGCCCTCACATTGTCCACATTGGCTGTAGACTCCACTATGCAAGGTCTTTTGTGGAACTGAAGGAAGAGACAAAGACAATGCTGTACACCAGCACGGAGAATAGGACCAGAGAGCCCTGACTTTACTGTTAAAATAAAGTAAAATAATAAGTACAAGTGCACTGACAGAAAGGTGCTTCTTTTCAAAACTCAGTGGAATAACCACAAGAATTATCCATTGCTTCAGCACTCTTCAGCCACAGCACCTTCCTTTAAATATATGTACAGTTGCTTCAACTTCATTACTAAGGGTAAACTATATAATTATTATATTGTTTTTTCTTTATTAAACTACATGAACAATGGATCTACGCATTAATGCTAAGACTGATCAGATAACATTCCTTTCTCAGAGAGATAAAAAGATTTTTAAATTTTTTTTTATTCTTCATTAGATTTAGGGAGGTATGTCTAAGTAATTTTAAATTTCTTTTGGGAAAAGGAGCTTATTATAAAAGAAAGAAGAGGAGAAAAACTAAGCAGCATGATCATTTTCCAGATAGATAGCAGTCTGGTCATTGAGACCTTCATCCAAAGTATCAGAAATCTGGGTTTCCAGGCCCTTCTCCAATAACAACAGAGCTCTGAGATTCTGGAGTCACACCAAAAACACCAGGCTACCAACCCTTCTGGGGCAGCAAGGAGTCTTTTTTTATTTCTCCCCATGCAAAAGGCCTTCCAGAAAAATGACTATTGAAAAATATATTTCTTCAAAACATCTTGTGTTTTCCCCACAGGGGGAAAAAAAAGATTAAGTTTTCAACCAGTTGTACTTATGGTTTTGTATACAACTGCAATTGTGGGGAAAAACTAACAGAATGAGAAAAGACATTCTTCCTATAAAGTTCTAGTAATACCTTTAATCATGTTACAAGCTTAATGCATTACATTAATTTTCTTAATTAACACAGTTGGACTTTTAGATCAAACAGAAAAAAGAGAAAAGATTGTGATCCAACAAAAGCGAGTTATAAAAACACTGCTGTTGAAAACAGGTCAAGTATTTTCTTGTACTTGAAGACTAACAAAGGGGTTTTTCCTTAAGGCAGTTATTAGGTGTTTTAGTTTTTATTTAAATGGTAAGATATAATTTCTACCACTTTGTTATATCTGTATTCCTGTGAATAGCAATTTTCTTAAGACACTTTTTTTTCTATTAGTTGTGATAGGATTTCTTTCTCTCAAGTTTGCATTTTACAGACCACAAACCTCAGAAGATCATTGTGTGGAAGAAACACACTGGGCCAACTCATCCTGTCCATCTGACACAAAGCACAGCCCATTTTGGTGTTCTTTCCATTCTGAAGGAGTCTCATATCAGGTAGTGGAAGCCAACTTACTTATTTCTTTGTTGTTGAATGACGTTTTTCCCCAGTATCCCCTCCTTAAGCACAATTTACATTTTAAGATTCTGGAGAACCTTTAAATTGCTGTTGCCAAAGGACCACAATAAGATGTGGCCAATCCACTGGAGTAGGGGGGAAGAAGGGCCCTGGTTATGGAGACCCCCACATCTTCCCTTTCTCACACAGCCCAGTAAACTCCATTAGAACTGACATGGCATGCAAAAAACACAAGAGAGGGCTAATTGAGTTTAAAAGCTATACAGTTGCAACCTCATTTAGGAAATGCCTCCAGGCTTGCTTGAGCATTTAGCAATAAACCTAGACCACAAAGCAAAGTGAATATTCAACTCCACATGCCCAGAAGGGAGAGATCCTTTTCTCCATACTCCTAAGCCCATGTTAGCCCCTCCAATCTTTCACCAACAAAGTAGGATTCTAGGAATCATCTCCATTTTTCTTATCCTGAAGGCAGAACTGTTTAATGTTAACAGTTCCTATAATCTTGATTACTATTACAATAATACATCAGTCTTACCACCTGAAAGCTACATCTTGTTAAAAAGCCATTTTCACCCTAAACCAATTATGAAAATAGAAATATCCACAGAGAGTTTTCAAACAGAAAAGAAATTCGCATTTGATCTTTTCTGCCATAAGTAGCAGCTATAGCTAGTACCTGAGAAGCTTTCTGCCCTGATCCACTGCTCCCTTGGGCATGTAAAATGATTGAAATTATCTGTAATGGTGATTTAAAATGGGGTAATCCACAACCAGAATATCCACAGCATTAAATGGAATAATTAAGTGTGGAAGGAATAAAAGATCAGCACTCAACCCTGTTATGAACATGTTCAAGAAATTTGAACACATGCACTTTTAACCATAGTAGAAGACATTCTGAAATAATACCATAAATATGGGAACAACCACAACTAAACCTGTTCTCACATGCTTTGTTTTTTTGAATTCAAGCTTTATTAAGCTCTTAGTGTCCTACAAAAACAGCTCCAAGAAACATAGGAGAAACACTTAAGCTGAGCATCTAGAAACTCTTACATAGATAGGTTTATATACACACTGTAACCACGACAAGAGCAAGAAGTAGCATGATGAAGGTGGAGGGTCTGGAGCCCAAGTCCACTCAGGAACAACTGAGGGAATTGGAATTGTTAAGCCTGGAGGCTCAGGGGAGACTCTATCACTCTCTACAACTACCTGAAAGGAGGCTCTAGAGGAGCGTGCCCAAGTCTTTTTTTTTCTCCAAGTAATATGACAAGAGGAAATGGCCTCAAGGTGCGCCAGGGGAGGTTTAAATTTGATATTAGAGGAAAAAAAACCTCTTCACCAAAAAGGCATCAAGCATTGGAAAAGGCTGCCCAGGGAAGTGGTGGAGTCACCATCCTCGGAGGTGTTTAAAAGACATGTAGTCATGGTGCCTAGGAACATGACTTAGGACTTGGCAGTGCTAGATTTAGTGTTGGATACAATGATCTTAAGTGGCTTTTCCAACCTAAATTATTATATGAATAACAGGTTCAATAACATAACTGGCTATGTTACTGTATATGCTGCTTTAGATACTGCATAATTCCCCCCTTATGTGGTATTTGAGATGCCATCATTGTATCCTCAAATCCAAGCTCTTCTTGCACTCACCTGAATCATATGAATGCAATCCATAATATAGTTTCCTTCACAATGTATGTATACATTGCAACAGCCACAGTGAAAGTATTTCAACAGATACAACATTATCAGATAGCCAAATTGTATCCCTGCTGTCCAAAAATTATAGCACTGCTCCATAAGCAAAACAGGAACATCTGGAATTCCACTCTTGAAAGGGCAGCTGGGACTGCACCACTATATCAGGAACTGAATTGCGCTCAGGTTTTCAGTTGTTACAAAATATACGTGGGGCTTTTCAGAGAAAAGTAACAACCATTCTGGTTACTGAAGAAATTACTAGTGTACAAGGTATTCATTAGGAAAAAATTGTTTAAGTGCATAGTATGCTTTTTTTACATGGAGAAATTGTGCAGGTTCACTCTATATTTAAAATCTCCTTGAACGTAAAGAATAGTTCCCTTTCATTTCAGAAATTATTTCCTAAGTAGAAAAATAGTCTTATAACTAAGACCAATTTTACCAAACCTGACACTATGAAATTTTTTTTCACTAACTCATATTCTGATCTAATTAAAAACAGCAGTCTGCGGAAATGCTAGCCATTCTCTGAAGTTGTGCTTTGGTGTCATGTTACTCCTCAGAGTTTGTGGCAACAAGTGCAAGAAAAATTATTCATTTTCTCTTCAGACAAAACTGAAAAGTACTGATTGCAGTAGCCATGCACAGTGGTTTAAGTAAAATATTTCTTCACTGATATTGAGAAGGAAATAAACACAGACAGCTTTTTTCAGTTGGCCAATGTATCATTTTGCATTTAACAGTTGTTCTGATCAAGATTCCTTCTGAGATCAAAACATTCATAAGATTTGTTTTTGCACATATTAATACTACATTTTGGAAGAGCCTGAGTTGTTACATGAATGCACAGGATCAGCAGAGAGGTATTTTAATGATCACAGAGTTGAAAGACCCTGTTTCAGAGAGGTAGCTACACTTGACAGATACCAGATAAAGAGAATTCTGAATAAATACTTCTGTTAAGATTCAAAGTTTCTAAATTAATGCAGAGGCTTTATTTTTCTTCAATTGTATTTACCTTCAGTATAAAGTAAATCCACCTCTACTCCACGTGCTTTGAATTTTAGGTATGATTTGTTTTTAAGTGAGAAAAAAAGGTATACATAAGTGCACAAATTTACCACACTTTGAATGCGCGGCTTGTACTATAAAGAAAAATAACTTTCTGAAACTCCCTTCTTATCTCTTTAGTAACCTTTAATGTTTAGTTATTTATTCACAGAATATAAGTTGGCTTTAATTGTTGTTAACACTGCATGAATATTTTGAAAAGAGTGCATCCACTTAGCTAAAACTGGAAACAGATAGTATTTACATGGTATAGCACCACATTTACACACAGTGAACCAATTTAAAGGAAAAAAAAAGCCTGAGATTTACAAAGGCACTCGAACAGTATAAAGAAATAATGCAACTATTATAACAGTCTCCTGCTAGAAATGGTGGAGCACTTTAAACAAGTTTCACTTACACAGCATTTCTTCTCCTCCTTTGAAATTTTCTAAAAAAAGCTTCACAATTAATATATTGTACACATTTTACAGGGTTTTCAAAAATCGGGGACTGTTTCTGGATAGACTCACTCTACTTGCAAACAATTAGAGCATACATTACAGTAAAGGTGCATTAAATGTTTGGCATCTGTGAGGGTACAGAAACATGTGCTTATTGCTTACCCACAGTTAAGTTCAATAATCAAAATGAAGTCAGTTATAATTTTAAATGGGGGTAAAAAAAAAAGTAAAAAAAAAGGAGAGCAAGGGAAAGGACAAGAAGTCTAACAGGCAGAAAACATTACAACAGCCAAGTGGAAACAAATGAGATATTATAAGGAGGGTGCAGTCACAGGACTATGTGTAACTCTGTTACAGCTGAACACCAATAGCTTCTGGTGAAATTAGTTCTGTGTGCAACTCGAGTCAAAATATAAAGAAGCATATTCAAAAGCCAACGAGCACAAAGCAAACATAGTCATGACTATTCACAATGGCAAATTCTATGCTGAATGTGTGAACGGGACATGAGTGAAGCAAAACACAAGCAGCGTCCCTTCGCCTGGGATCTTTGTAGTGACACAGGCCAAGAAATCTGAACAGAAAATGTCTCTCTGTGCTAGGAGGGGAAGACATAAAACACCGTAAAAACAAAAACTGCTTTCCTCGTGGAAGAATAGTAACTTTGGACAACATTTGGCACCACAAGTTCAAAGGGCTATTTCATCTGCATTGTAAGTACAGACCCAGAGATTTTACAGTATTCCTGCCTCCATGCTATTGTTTTTTGTGCCATTAATGGCATTTAAATTATAGACCTGCTGCAGCCATGTAGTCAAAACACCACATCACCCGATGAGACACTATTATAATGTCAGTGTGTCTGTATTTTAGCTGTGCTTTCATATACTGTACTTCCCTTCAATCACCCTGTTTCTCTGCCAAAGAATAGATACAAGAGACAAGTCTATCTTTAGCTTCACTGAAATTTCTTACTCAGGCAGCTGCAATACTTCATTCATCACATATTTAAGTCTCTTTATATCAATGACATTTTTAGAGGTACAAATAGTACAGAGGCAGAACTAAACATTCACGGAGAATTTAAAATAAAAATATAGGATGCATTTAGGAAGTTAGATAGAAATAATACACTTTAAAGCAAACTAATTTTTAAACTAGATCAGGTGGCACTTTTTGTTTCTTTTGGTTTTTTTAAGTATTATGTATTTTTGGTTCCCACTTTCAGTAAAATATTCCAGATTGCTGAAACACTGTTTCCCAGAAACAGGTATTTATAGACTTGTACATGCAGTTATTCACAATAGTAAATATTGATTAAATAACAACTTGCACTTTGACAGCATGTTACAAGAGAATGCATTGAAATTTTTAAACAATTAAATGCAAACAATTTTGCATGACAAAATCAGAGACATTTCTTTTTCTAAATTATTCTACCAAAAGAGCTAAACTAGTCACATGAAGTCACTATAGAGCTAGGTAGCAAGTTCAGATTTTCAGTCAGCATTCAAAACTTTTTTTCATCTCAAAAGCCCTGCTTCAGGGTCACAAAACTGCTGGGGGGAGGGGGTGGGTGTCTGCTCCTATAAGCTGGTCTGCTGCTTGTAAGCCTCAAAAACACATCTCCACTTAGGATGTAAGAATTTATTTATGTCTTCAAGATTCCATGATTTCCTACTTTCTGCAGTGCAAAGTATGGGCAATTCATCAACTCAAACACTTGGACCCTCAAGTTAGTGTTTCAAAGTATT